CCCCCCTTTCGAGATTTCTGAAATGGAACCAGAATGGTATAAACCCCAAGCCACGTTAAAAGTTCAGGCATGGGTTTTTTTCTCCGAGGGGACTTGTCTGCAAGAGGTGAAGGGGAACTTGTAGGTCTGTCCGAGCTGTGCAGATCACTGAGGGATCAGGGGTTCCCCCGTCCTCCCCACTCCCACTTCTCTCTTTCTCTTTTGAAGTTTTCTTTTCTGCCCTGAAAGGGGGAGGATGATTTGAAGGAGGGCAATCAAAAGGGGAAGGCATTTTCCAAACGTGAGTTTGTGGTGGAGGGAGCTCACTCTCTCAGCAGGATTTAGTCTCTACTCACTTTAAAACGTAGAACAGCAGAAAAAAAAATCCCATATAACAAATACTAAGGGAAGAAAGGCAGTGAAGTAAGAACCTGTGAAGACTAGAGTCCCCTTGAAACTCAGGTTCACCCAAAGCTTTAGCAAAGTGTTTTGCTTCTCTCTCCAACGGTTATAGGATGTGTATCACAAGGCTACAGCATAAATAATCAGATTCCATTCCGTTTTGCATCTCTCTCTAACAGAGTTGAGATTAAAAGCCAAAATTCGAGCACAGCCCTTACAGATCAGTTGAATAGTGCCAGTGCATATGTTTCCAACTCACATGTTGAAAACTGTACCTTCAAACTTAGGCTTGTTTCTGATAGCTTTCATTTCTTCAACTACAAGGGGAAAAAAGATAAACAGAACTTTTCTGAACTTTTCCTATTGCGCCCATCCATGGAGAGAAAAGACAGTATTACATCAGCTCTATACCTTCAACAAAAGCAGGGAAGGTTTAGCAAGAAAAGCTCACTGGTATACCACAGTGGAAATCTTTATTTTAAACTTGGGACAGTTCAAACCAATTTGACACCAGCACTGAGCACCACAAAGTATTTGGTTTGGGAACAAACTCCTCTGTGGTAGTGTGAAGTGAATTGTCGCTTGATGCCAGATGCATGGTTACTCCAAATGTCCCCTCGCTGCCTTTCTTGTAAGGCTCATGGTACACAGGAGAGTTTCTACCCACAGAGACAGTGCTTTTATATCAGACCACTGTGCCTTGCTCCCCAAAGTCCAGACCTGCGGGCTCAGCAGAACTGTTTTTTCTCAAAAGGAAAAGGGGGAAAATGGATTAGAAAAAGGGAACCAGCTGGGGACTGTTACCTTCACTGGTAGTAGGCCTGCTCTTAAAAAACAATGTCAAGGCACTGTAATAGCATGTGAAATGACAAAGATAGATGCTATTTCTTCCTGAGGTCCACACTGAGTGGAGAAAGTCAAAGGGTTGTTGACTGTCTTGCCTATGGGGCCATTCTTTCAAATTGAAATGAATTGATTTAAAAAAGCGAGGACTGGCTAATGGGGAACCTGGTATGGCTGCTATATTTATGTGCATCAAACTGAAATTTAAACAATTTGAGGGAACATGAGCTGTATAAACATTTTATATATAGTAACATTTTGTTAGTAGTTTTGGAAATGCTTGATGCTACTTCCCTGTCACCGCTCCATATAGCTGACTATACAGCATTCAGTTCACGCTACAGTCGAGCAGGAACTGTTTGCTCAACAACTCCAGGCTCCACTTTCAACTGGAGTACTAATGTACACCTGAGCTGGCCACAAAAAAAACAGGTAGCCTGATGTTTTTAGACCACTTCACCAACCAGGCAGATAAAATACATAAACTAAGTGCATAGCTGTAAGGGAGCTGTGGACTAGAGGGTCTTCTGAAAGGTTGGTTTGCTTGTTTGGATTTTTTCTGCCTCTGTGTGAGTGCAGTGAGGATCTTCTGAAGCTGAGTTTGGGCTCATCTCTTCACCTCCCCTCCACGTTCAAGACATTGCAAATATTTACTAAGTACAAAAGATATGAGAAGTGCTGGGCATTAATCATTATTATATCCCTTCCCTGACAGGAAATGGGCCCAGAATAGCAGAGCTGAAATTAATCTTTCTAAAAAAAAAATGAGTTTGTAAAGAATTGTTCTGGAGTCACATACATTTCGTTCATCTCCTGGAGCTCTCATTCAAAACAGAGGTCTGTCTGCCCAAGTGGGACATTTCTCAGAGAACTGTAATAGATATTTGTTCCAGCATCCACACTAAAGCTACAGACCACATGTAAGGTGCAAAGCTCTAGATTTGTTTCTCTCTCACACACATATACATCCTCACAAGCATGCAAATCTACACTCCTTTCTCTTCCTAAAATAACAAAACATTTTTATGTTTTGTCTATTTTATGCAGATCCATAATCAGATGTGTACCAAAATTTTTAACTCAGTTTGCTGAAATTGCTAGATTGTCGAGGAAATTAAACTAAACAAGGAGATGTGTGAAATGTTGAACTTTAAATGCCATCCACTAACTCGAGAAGAAGAAAAATGAGTCAATAAACACTAAGGTTTCTGCTGATTTTAGATAATCATGATTAAAAGAATAATTTTGTTAGATTTTTTAATTTTAATTTTTTTTTATCATGATGAGAATCCCCTTATGCTGTAATAGTGGGTATTTGAAGGCAATGCCCTTTCCCTTTTGATTTGGGACTGAAGAACAGGGTTACGATGTCTCCCCTTGGTGTTAATGATGGGTACAGAGACGCTTAATCTTTCAAGCGGTATGTGTATTTCTGTGAATACTAGGCGAGATGACAATATCATTGTCAGCAGCTCAGAAGAGGCATGTTTTACCTGAAGAACTGGTCTTGGGCTGGATGCTGCTGCTGTTCTGGGTTTGGGGTTTGTTTTTTAATTGCCCTGCCTATTCTCTCAAGTCCATATTAATGCCATACGGCACGGCTGAGGCCAGGGCTGAGTGAGCCCCGTCATTAACAATAGCATAAACAAAGGAAGGGGACCAGTTACCTTGACATTCGATGCCCGCTTTGTTCCCGAGCTTCCAACTGCATCCTGAAGCTCATATAGGGAAGTATCGCCTACGGGAATGCATAATCCACTCCAGCTATTGTCCCAATCTCCTGGAAAACAAAACAACAGAACCAAAACAAAGATGACAACACACCCCCTATCCGCAAGGAGCCTGCGAATGGTTTCATCCCCTCCTGCTTTTCCCCGCGCTTTTCCCGGCCACTCGTGTTACTGACCCGCTCCCCACAAGCGCTGCCCGCTGTAGCCCAGAGGCGTATCCCAGTTTGCGCAAGCACCCCCCAGCCTCCTATTCCCCAGTTTCTAGAGGGAATGGGTCTGGAGACACCCCCTCTGTGCTCTGCAGGGGAGTAAGGGGGATGAGCGCTCCTGTGCCTGCGCAGCCCAGCCGTGTCCCTCCAGAGACCGGGCCGCACCCGGGGGATTCCGCGTTAGACAGGGCGGCCCGGCGGGGTGAGCTGCCCTCCGACCGCCCCAGCCCTGCCCGCCCCCCCTGACCTGTCAGCAGGCGGGAGGGTTTCACCCTCTCCCGGTGGCGCGGCGTGGCCAAGGGGCAGCGCGACATCCCCATGCACCACCGCGGGGATGCGAGGGAGGCGGAGGGCGAACGTGTCCCTGTGTGTGTGTGTCTGTGTGTCTTCATTGTCCTTCCAGCTTCGCCCTACCGGAACGGTTTTCCCCGCGGAGGGGCCCTCCCGGCCTTGCCCTCCATGCCTAGCAGCTCCTGCTCTGTAGCCCCCTGTTTTGGCAGAAAAGCCCATAGCAGCCCCCTTGCTCACGCGCAGCCGAATAAGCCTACCTGGAGCGGGAACATCTCTTTCCTCTGCCAAAATAATTAAGTTCCCCAAACCGAGTTTCATCTTCCCCTTTCTCCTACAGTCCTATGCTGACCGTCAGAGCAGAGGGACGAAGAGACACCCTTTCCCCCAAGTATGCAGGGGTTGGTTTGACCCCATCCTTTCCCTCTTCAGGGGCAGCTTTTGCTCCCTCTGCACTCGGAGGGGAGCAAGTTCAAGCCCTGGGAACCCTGCACCTTCACCTGTGTCTTCGGGAGAAGATGAAGGAGACCTAGTGGCATAGCCTGAGGTAGAGGGGAGGCCTGAGGAGACAGATCCCAGATGCCGCCAAATCCATCCTCGCAATGTGCTTGTATGTGGGGAGAGGGGAGGCTTACAGGGGTAGTGAAGGAGGTAGTTTGAACCTAAAGCCTTTGCTTCAAAGGTTAAGAGCTCCCTCGTCAAAGGCTGCCAAACGTTACTGGGCCGAAG